GTTAGGTTCAAGAACCTGTTCCGGTGTCCACTTCCTTCTGGGATTTCCTACATCTCTTCTCCCTCTGCATCTGTAGTCCACTGCGAGTGCTGGTAGTCTGCTGTCGGGCATTCGTATGAGATGTTCATACCATCTTTTCTGATTTCTTTCCAGTTTCTCCAGCAGTGGTTCGACCCCCAGTTTATTTCTTACCTCTGTGCTTTTCTTTTTATCTAGGATATTATAACCTAGAGCGCTTCTTAGAAATTTCATTTCAGCTGCCTGGATTTTAGTTATCTTTTTTTGATGTTACTCTTGCTTCATCTCCATACATTAACACTGGTATAGCTACTGTGTTGAAGAATTTTATTCTTGTTTCTATCCTAGTTTTATTTTTTAGATGTCTGTGTATTGTGCCGCATATATTTATAAATTTATTTAATTTTTTATCTAAATCTATATCTCTTTCAAACGAGATGTGGCAACCAAGATATTTGAAGTATTTTACTTGTTCTATACTCTTTCCTTCTATCACAATCTTTGTTCTCACTGGGTATTTTCCTTTATATGCCTTAGTTTTAGTTTTTTCTTTGGATATTTTAAAACCATATTCTATTGCTGTTTGATTTAATTTATATACTGCCATTTGCATTTTGTCTTCAGTGTCCTGTATTATCACTTTGTCATCTGCATATAAAAAATTTTTTAAAAATTTCCTTAAATAGATCCCTTGATCTATATTCAATTTCCATGTTCTAAACATGTCGTCCATGTATATATTGAAAAGTGTCGGTGATATGCAACAGCCCTGTCTTGTACCTTTGTTGGTGAGAATCTCTTCTGTCAATTTTCCTTTTATAACCAACTTAATACTCATTTCATATAGTTCTTTTATCACCTCTATCAAGTGTTTTGGGTACTTTTACTATATCCATGAATGTTAGGTGTGTTTCACAGTTGTGTTCACGTCTTTCTTCTATTATTCTTTTTAATGTGAAAACGGCATCAGCAGTTGATCTGCCTTTTTGAAATCCCATTTGTTCTTCTGATGTAAGGTGGTCTGCTATTATTTTTAATCTTTCATTTATTATTCTCGCATTGATCTTATATGTTGTATCCAATAGACTTATTCCAATGTAATTGCCTGGGTCTCCTCATTTACATTTCTTATAAAGTGAGATTACTTTTGCTTTTTGCCATTCTTTAGGAGTTTGTTTATTTCTCCAGCACATACTAAAGAAATGAAGTAGGCGTAAATGAAATAACATTCCGGAGTATTTTAGTAGTTCTGTGTTCATGCCATTCATACCAGGTGCTTTTCGATTTTTACATTTATTAAGTGCTTCATGTAGTTCATCGATCGTTAGGTCATCTGCATTTGTAGTTGTGTATGTTTTTATTATTTCACATTTTTCATTGCACCATAATGCTTTATAATCTTTCACCAATATTTCCTTTTCAATTGCATTTATATGTACATTCTCTCTTTCATTACTATTCAATATTTTCATTACTTTGTAGGCTAATGTTTGTCTCCTGTATATATCATGTTTTATTCTTCCAATAAATTTTTCCCATGAAATCGGCGTGAGCTTTTCTAATAATTGTTTTTACTTTGTTTCTAGCTTTTTTGTATTCTTCCTTATGATTTTCAGCAGGGTTGTCAAGGTATATTTTGTATCTCTCCTGCTTAAGCTTAACACTTTTTTCAATATCATCATTCCAAATTTTCAAACCTTTTCTTTTTAGAAATTTCTTTTTCCGTCCATCTGCGGATTTCTTTATTATTTTCTGTATGTTTTGCCATTCTTTTATATTTTTATACTTTGTATACTTCTTCTTTATCATTCATTATTAATCTTGAATTACTTTTCACCCATTTTTTCAAGAATTTTATACGGGATATTACTAGAAAGTGATTAGAGTTTATGTCGCAGCTTCTTTTAACTGTTGTGTCTTCTATTAATTTTGATATTCTTTGATTTCCTATTATATAAACAATAATGGATCTACTACCTCATGCTGACCATGTATATTTATGACTGTCTTCTTTCTTTTTAAATGTATTTGCAATATACAGTTCATTGAAGGCTGCGAATTCCCTCAATTTGTCTCCTTTGTAATTTTTTACACTTTCTCCCCACTTTCCTACAGTCTGTGGTATACTCTCATTTCCCACTCATGCATTTAGATCACCTTCAAGAAGGACTTCATATCTTGAATTGCATTTGTCCAACAGTTCCTGCATGGTTCTGTAGAATTCCTCTGTTTCTTCCCTCTTTCCTTCCTCCGGGGCATACACACCAATAATGACTATAGGTGTAGGTGTATATTTACTTCAATTATTTTTCCTGTTAAGTAAGCAAGGTTTGTTTATTATGTTTGCACAAAAATATATTTTTATTCCAATCATGCTTCTCCTGAATTTAATCAACAAAAGTTTATTCAGGAAATGAAATATTGTTAATTTTAATGCATATTAAAGTGCATATTTCAAAACTTTTAGGTCATAAATTCATTTTTTAAACTATATTACCAGATTTTTAGGGCATGAAAATTGTTTTCCTAGTCATTAATGAGATGATGATGATATAATAATAATAAATATTAATTATAATTAATATTAATTATTTAATTATAATTAATATTAATTATTTAATTATTATTAATATTAATTATATAATTATTATTATTATTATCATCATTATCATTATTATACTATCATTATCATTATTTTAGCTATTCATCAGATTATTGCATCATCTTTGAATGATTAATTTAACTCAATATTTCAAGATTTTGAGAAAATATAGTTATTTGAATTTATTTACTTAGTAGAAATTGTATTTAATTAGTTGTTCATTGTTGATTACAGTCACACTATTGAATAGTTAGTATTTTGTGCAAATAAATAGCTATGGAAAAGTCCTTGAACTCACACTGCATTAATTTACAACCATTCAAGATTACCATTCTGCTAAGTTCATTACAATGGGCTACCATCCATTTTTTATTACTTTACAAAAAGAAGCAGAAGAGGATAAAATATATGTTACCAAGTTAGATTTGATACTGCGAACAAAGTACCTGCTGGTAGATGAAATTATTTTAAGTACATTATAAAAATAATATTAATTGTTAAACAGTCTACAAACATATCATCATGAAGTAGAGATATATTTTCAGATTGGTGTTTTTTCGATCAGTGGATCTACACAAACAGCAGGAGCAGTTAATGACCCCAAAATAAGACTAGAAAAGGAAAATGCCCAGTCACTAATATTGATAGGTTGATCAAGGATGCAATTGGAAATCAAATAAATAATTATTTAAACAAATGTTTTTATGTACCAATTTATTTACATATAAACGTGTTCAAATTATAGTTCTCAAGCAGATTAAGTAAGACTATGTATTATAATATAGAGAAACTTATTCCAGGGACATCAGTAACAATTCAATGTCCGTTCGAAGATATTGAAGGAGATGACATTAAATTTTTATGGTTTGAAGTCATCATTAAAAAGCATTTTGAAGAATTTAGAATTTACTCAGAGTCATGATGACAAATATATTCACATACGTGAAAAAGAAGTTATTGTATTCTAGAGAGAATACTTTCTAAGAAATTATTTGAAGAATTACAATGGTGAGATCCCAAAAACAGTTACTTTTTGGACGAGACTTGGATATGTATAAATGGTAATATAACATTTACAATTTTCAAAATATTTACATTTTGATTAAAGTTTTCAATCTGCGAGTTACTGAATTGAGATTGCTACTTTCTATGTACTACTAAGTTGCGGAACGGAATTTTGTCAGTAAATTGTGAAAATAATTGCTTCATTGTATTCAGGTCAGTCTACTAAAACATGGATGAAAGATGAGATTAGATGAGATCCACGCCAAGCTGATGAAAGAAGATTAGTAGCGGCCCATGCGAGAAGTAAAAATGGGTTTGTCCCGGGTGTGTCTGACAAAGGAAGAGCAATAGATTATATACATGGGGGTCAGAATAAACATTAATTCATTCAAAGATATGCAGGTTGTATGAAAGTATAGTTTGCTTTTTATTTTTTTTTTTTCAGTGCCACCCATGTAAAATGCTTTTGTTATTGATTTTACAAATTAAAAAAAGTATGTGAACCTTTTCTGGGAAGAAAGTTTAATTAAAGTTTACATTGTTAATGACTTACATTTAGTAAAATGTTATATCAAAGCAATCTAGTAAAATAAAGTATGTAGCTCCATATCCAAACAATATTCAAGAAACTATTTGTATTAGGTACAGAATTATAATTTTCAGCACAATTTAGAAAGGGCAGGATTATCATAGATGAAACAATGAAGGCTTTCGAAAGTTAGTCTAAATTGTAATAATGACAATAGGATTTCGAAAATTTGCAATTGAATTTAAAATCTATTCATCACTTGTCAGTGTGTCAAAACTCAAATACTCCCTGGAATAAGACAACCCTGCCATGGAAATGGATAATGTAAATTTAACTTCAGCTAAAAAAAAATCTGAAGTAACTTCCCAACAACTTAAAATGGTCTGAGTGTAACTTTCAGAGCATGTCCCAGGGTTCAAACGCAGTAAAATGTTAGCGTTCAGGTTTACTCACGAAGAAAAATATCAAAGTGTTTGATATATGAACTTTATTTTTATTTTTATTTTATTTTTTTAATACATTTTCCGATCACAAAATAATTTAAGTATCGGCTGCAGAGGAGCGCGGGTGATCGGTGAGACACTAAGAAAAGTTTCCAAGATTTTTTACGTTAGAATTATAGCGGGAAGAATCATTCTATTTAATTTGGATGAACTTAATATTATTCGGGGGGGGGTGGAACCCTACTGTATGATTGGCAGTCAAAAATTGCATCTCTTGCGATAATCAATTGCATGGAGGTGCTGTTGCTTCACGTGCTTAAATTCAGTGGGGAAAAAAAAAGTTGTAAGAGAAAGAATCAATGAAAAGTTGAAAGACATTTATTGGAGAATTGAAAGATATAAAAAATGTACATTTAGAGTGTTTTAGCGTCTTGCGACCCTTAAATTACAAGTTGGGATTTTAAAGTATAGAAAGCTAGTCCTTTTGAGACCCTGGGCAAACGCTGACTAAGCATCGTGCAACTGTTCGGGGAGGACAGCACACGCAGTCCATTGCACGTTTCCGAGCACTGAAGTACACCTGCAACGACCAAATTGGATAGTTTAGAAACAAAATTTAAAGAGCCCTGTTGACAAATGCTTATACAGTCTTACCTCGCTAGGAAGCATGGAGACACAAGGGAAGATTGCCTCGGCAACATCCAGACCCTTGCACAGGCACCAGTCAGCGCACGAAACTGGCGCTCGGCACAGTAAAGCCACCGGCCTGCACACCGCTGTCGCAAGCGAGGCCGACTTCTCGCCCACCGACAAGGCCCAGCCCACCACTGGGTAGGCCTTGGCGCCGGCGTACGCGCCCAGCAGACCCTGCACCGCGGGCAGACTGCGCACGCGCCGCAAGAACACGCAGCCGCCGGCGGCAGCCGTCTCTTCAGAGAAGATCGCGTCCTCAAGCGAGGACGGAGGCTTGAAGGACAAGGACGAGGCGACGGAGCTGGGCGAAGAGGGCGGCAGCGCTTCCGTGGCAGGGCTCCTCGGCTGAGAGGCCGCCCGAGCCTCGTCCGCTGCGCCCGACTGCGCTGGAACTTGGGCAGCGGCCGCAGTTGCACTGTCCTTCGGGGACTGCATTGTACTACCTTGCAAAATATTAAATTAGCATTAAGCACACAATCAATATACGTACCAATTGAAGAGCACAGCAACGCATACTTACGAATGGAATTACTGATCTTCAAGTACTTTCCTCTGCCTCTTCACTCGCTGCAAGTGCACTGCCGAATGAACCGAAACGAACCGCTTTTATAGGAAGCGGATCGCTGGCTAGCAGTTGCGCACTCGCATTGCTGTTCGCATAATAGCCCAATGGGAGCTCTAGTTGACGTTTACAGTGATTTAAACGCCTGTTATTTTGCAGTATTCTCATTAGATTTGAATACATAAATCAACCCCAAATGTCAACCACAATTAAGTAGAATACATAAATTTATCCCCAATGAATTCTATTTTTCTTTCCGTCTTACTACATTATAAATTACTCCACTCTGGTACGTAGTTTGATTAACTATATTGTTACAAATCTGCAATGATAATCCAATAATTTATTCAAGAAAAGAATAGATATTAAATGTGTTATTCAGTTTTAGAATTACACCTACTTGCACACTAGTTCAATTTTTATCATTATAGTATGTGCGCTAATTAATAAATCATTTGTATTTATAAAACGTTCCACCGTTTTATTTAAAAATATAAAATATTAAAAAGACAAAATATTACAAAACAAGAAAACAAGTATGACATCTTCTGTAACATAAAATCCAACTTCAACAATATAAAACAAAATTCGATATATGTTGTAGAGTTCTTGGACACGTCTCAATTTCATTTTGTAAATCTCTGATATTTCAGAAATTGGAAAAACTCTGTGAAAATATAATTTGCAATAAAAAGCAAATTTAGAAATAATGCAAGAAACATGTCCTGTTGTAGCACCACTAGTTTAAACATGTCTAATTTTTGCGTATTTTTTAGTAATAGAGGCCTTTAAGAAAAAACTTGAACAAGATTTTCTCGAAAATTGCTCCAATTATTATGTTTTAGGAATAGAGAACAATGCACTGAATCACAAAACATTCGCGCCATTTGATAACGTTGGAATTTTCAAACATTACAGATATGATTTTTTTTAATATTTTGAACATCGTTTGTATTTACATTTTAGGTGTAATTGGTAATTTGTGAGTACAAATACTTGAAATTCTCTCTACAAAGGTTTTAGGCATCTCAAACATTTTAGAATGCAAATGAGCTTATCAATGTGCTGTTTTAGAAACACTTAAACGGCATTTTCTCAAAACTGCCCCAAATTTGTATAAAAATGAAGTTTTGCTTATCTATGATGTTCTGAAAGTTTCATTTCAATTAAACGTTTACAGGACTAATAAATTTGGGAAAATGTGAACAAAATGTACGTGACTTTGATAAAATACAATCTCCTCAATATAAATACTGCGGGAATGAAAACTAAACCATTTTGTTAATTAGCGGTATCTATTTAATATTACATTTGCAATTAAATTATTTAATTTTGGGAAATACGTTCATTAACGGGTTAGTCGTCGATATTTTTTCACATTGTTTCAATGGCAACAAATGGTGTCGAGTGACATCGAAATATATTGGTTCAGAGTCACATTATAGGGCACCAAAGCATTCAAAACGTTAATTACAATGCTATGATTTTATTAAATAATAATAATTATTATTTTACATATTTGTCACACGTTTAGCTTAGTCCGATCAAGCAAGAAGGCTTTGTCGCATATAGGCTTGGGGCGGATGCACCTAATGCGCCGACAGTAAGGCTGCAGGTTCGATTGATTGATTCATTCATTGTTATTGATTCCGGGCTCGTCAATAGCTGAGATAATTCGTCCCGTAAGTATAGTGTATGTTTTCCTCGGGAGGTGGCGATGTTATTCCCCTGCTGGATGGCGAGACCGGCGCCGACCTATCTTCAGCTAGCAGGGCTTTCCCCAACCACATATCTCCCACCAGCGGGGCACTGCCCCAGCCGGGATAATCTCCAAGGTCCCAACCGGTCTCCTGGCAAATGTGGTAATGTTGTGCATGAAAGTGCGTGTGTACGTAAGGGGTTAAGTTAGGACATGGATCAAGGAGATCGCGCCCGTTCCGTAACCCGTGTTTTAGGGTACTGCTCCGTCCTGGTGTTGATCGGAGAGACCCAGGAAATCTACCGATAAAAGCAACCGGCCGCTGGAATTCTCATCCAGACAAGCTGACAAGCTAGTATCGGAAATTCTGCCGCTATTGGGCATCGAACCGAGGACCTCCCGGTCAGAGGCACTGCAGTGACATCAGTTGATGCCTTGACTCACCTCTCCCGGCCGTACTTTCGACACCACCAAGGCATTAATGTTTTCAGTTATTTGTGTTATCTGGAACATCTCCAGTCACACGTTTACCTCATAAATCCTTTTATCTGTTGCGTGACCGGCGATTGTGTGTGAGAGATGTGTATGCACTCTACTGGGTGTGTAATTGAGGAAGTGTCTCTCTTCATCCAAAATAATGGTACAAGCACAGACACTGGGCCTCCGTCTACAAACGGTATATTTATTGGTACGGGACCATGAGGATTTAAGGGGTACCTGGGCGTGATTTTCGGGGAGTGCGAGGGCGTTCTTCACAGACAACTCTCTGAAGAAGCCACTAAGAATTTCAATGTAGGGCCCCCTGTGCAGTGCATGCTGCCAATGACGTCCCTAAATTGATCATTGATGTGATTGTATTTGTTCATAAATGCGCCAAAATTTAATTCTGCAGATTATTCCAGAATAATAAATTCTTCCTTTACCGAAGATTACAAGGGGAACTTCAACATGGTGTACAAAGTCCTGTTTTTCTTCTGTAATCACGCCTTCCCTTTACAAAATGGAACTACAGGAGTCGATCTACTAAAGATATAGGAAGTCTTCAGGACGAGGAAGAGGCAAGGGAAGAGGAAATGGAAGAACACTAATGACAGTAAAGTCATGAAATGTAAACCAAAGTCCGAAGCCTTCGCTCGCGATCTACTAAGGAAGAAGAGTGATCAGAAGATAAATCCAAAGTCTCTCTAAAATAAACTTACTCAGCTATAGAGCTTCCTCTGGTGATGCTGTTTGCACGTTCTAGGAAGGAAAATGGTCACAGGACTGCCATGGGAATCTGTGGGTGAAATGTGAGCAGTATAAAGATTGCAACACAGGTAGAATGTTCCGGAACGGAGAAAGATGGCTACCTTTGTGATTTTCGCAAATAAATATCTTTTCTGCCATGCACGGAATTAAAAATGTTTCTTAGCACCTATATATGGTCAAATAACAAGTACTAATGGAAATGTGACCGTCTTTTTTCCTGTACAATATCATTGGCTTGTTTAAAATCTCAATTCTCAAGGAACCGAATTTGAAAAAATTCAAACGATTAGTTTGTATTATCTTTAAATAATTAACATTTCTTTGTCTATATTCATGGTTTAGTTTTAGAACCACAAACTTCTGAATGACAAGTTTACGATCGTATTATTATTACGTAAATTATTATAGCTTTATCTTTAATAATACTGCAGTAGAAAAACCAATTGGGGGTACTTTGGTGCACTTCTCCTATAGAAACAGTCATGGAATAGAAAACATTTTACTAGGCACATAAAATTGTGTATCGATTTTAATTGCTTGGTATCATCTGGCAATGAATTGCAAAGTAACGTTCATATATTATATTTCTATTTCTTGTAGTGTTCTGTTGCTATTGTTACCTGATTAATATAATTCCTATGGCGTATGTTGTAATTATAAATATTGTATTACCACAAAGTATATTCCTACTCTTGAGTAAATCAGATTTGACACAAAACACAGATTCGTACATAAATAGGTAAAGAAATGGAAGGATTCAAAGCAGTATGAAGTGAGGCTTGCAGGAATCAGGAGGATGGTTTAATGGCGGATGGCGTAGAAAACAAAAACTAGTTGAGTAACAGCGTATACTTTCTCGCGTTATTCGTAACGGGCACCATGTATTACAATATTACTTGAACCCGCAAGAAATTTCACTTAGCTACGCACTGAAGCAACGGGCAAAAATGAGCAGAATCATAGATATACGTTCCATAATTATTACCTAAGTATCATTTTAGTTATTTATAGTGAGGATAGTGATCAATGCAATAGAAAGAATTATACAATTGCAGAGGCAGTTATAATATGCAATGTAAAATATGTAAAATCGACCTCAAAATATAAAAAAGCGCCCTTAAAAGTAAAAAAAAAAAAATACAATCGAAAAAAAAAATCGTCTTTCTATTGACTATTTCGGTTTTCAGTGCGCATTAACTGTTAAGGCTTTCAGTTCCGCAGATGTAGCGCATTGTTTTTTTAGCGGGAGGTGGCGGTGATCTTCTCCAGCAAAGTGGCGAGATCCGGCGCCAAACTACCCGTCGGCCGACTTGTCCTCCAACATGTATGGTCATGTAGTGCATATAATTACAAGTGAGTTTAAGTTGAGGGTGAGGAAAGGACAAGGAAAAGGAAGGAATGGTCCTGGGTGTTCATTGGCCCGTTTGTTAGGGTACTGCTCCGGCATTCGCCCGATGTTGAGCGGATAAAGACTCGGAAACTACCGATCAGAGCAGCTAGTCACTAGAATTCTCCTCCAGACTTCAGCTGAATTCAATCTAGCTAGTGTCGAAAATCTTGCCGCTGTCGGGACTCAAACCCAAAGACCTCTCGATCAGAGGCACCACAGTGACATCAGTTGATGCCCTGAGCCATCGAAGTCAGCATTCAGTATGTCTATTCGTCAAATAATCAAAGATTTATTAGAAATATTTAGTGAAATCATTGTTGAAACTAATAATTAAAATGTGTTTTCGAAATTATTTTTTTCAATTCCAATTGTTTTTATTTTCAATATGTATCAATTCTTGTATTATCATTGTAGATTTGTAAAAACCAGTTAATAAAAATAAAAAGCAATGTGGAGCAATTTATTATGGAGCAATACACAAAAAGAAAACTAGAATTTATTGGGGACGTATATATGTATTGGTGCTTTGATGAAATATATGTATTAAAATGTATTGTGAATACTACACAAACGCAACAGGCGCCTAAATCAGTGGAAACCTAAACTCCTGCCCTCATTGGCTAATATACGAAGAACTATGCGAGTGCGCAACTGCTAGCCAACGATCCTCTTCGTATAAAAGAGCGTCGTTTCGGTTCGTTCAGCAGTACACTTGGAGACGAGTGAAGGAGCAGAGCAAAGTACGTGAAGATCAGCAATTCCAGTTATAAGGATGTGTGGCAGTGTTCGTTGGTACGTATGTAGCTCGTGTGTTTAATGTTGGTGTAATACTTTGCAGGTAGCAATGCAGTCGCCGAAGGACAGTGCCCCAGCCGTGACCGCGGTCCAGGTTCCAGCGGACGAGGCTCGGGCGGCTTCCCAGCCGAGGAGCCCTGCCAGGGAAGCGCTGCCGCCCTCTTCGCCCAGCTCCGTCGCCTCGTCCTTGTCCTTCAAGCCTCCGTCCTCGCTTGAGGACGCGATCTTCTCTGAAGAGACGGCTGCCGCCGGCGGCTGCGTGTTCTTGCGGCGCGTGCGCAGTCTGCCCGCGGTGCAGGGTCTGCTGGGCGCGTACGCCGGCGCCAAGGCTTACCCAGTGGTGGGCTGGGCCTTGTCGGTGGGCGAGAAGTCGGCCTCGCTTGCGACAGCGGTGTGCAGGCCGGTGGCTTTACTGTGCCGAGCGCCCGTTTCGTGCGCTGACTGGTGCCTGTGCAAGGGTCTGGATGTTGCCGAGGCGGTTCTCCCTTGCGTCTCAATGCCTCCTAGCCAGGTAACATTGACTGACCCTTTCTGTCAACAAGACACTAGTCTGTTTCTAACTTCCCATTCTATTGTTGCAGGTGTATTATAGTACTCAAGAGAATGTGGTAAACTGTGTATGCTATCCTCCCCGTATAGCTGCACGTTGTTTGGCCTGCGTTTGTCCGGGTTCTCAAAAGCACTGTTAATTTTTGTATTTTCATTTATGAAATTTTACATATTCGGTCGGGAGACTCTAAACATTTTTATGCATGCCCACTTTTTTCAATAAAGTCTTAAGTTTTCCTTCGGTTCTTTTACTTTCCATTTATAACCTTATGGTTCTGTTCCTCACCATGTTCCTCCATGACGTAGCTATTTACCTTATTCCTCCGCTTGACTACGTTTCAACATCAATTATAAAATTTAAGATTCTTCCGATTTCTTTGTGTCTTGGGGGCGTTGTTTAACTTGGAGGCATTCCCGATGTAGTATCGACACATAAAAGGTGGATACATGTCTTTGGAATATGTCTTTCTTAGACGCTTCAGAGTGTCTTAAAGCTAAAACAAGCATAAAAACCCGAAGTGTTTAAATTTGTCAGCCTTTGTGTTGCTTGTTGTGTATCTTGCGATATTTATTCACCCCTGGTGTGCGGCATGCTCTTTTCTGCTGTATTCTGAAACATAAAATAAAGCTTACATGGATGGATGGATTTCATTTTTTCCTTTTCCCTTCAATGGATATATCTTTTCAGGGCAGACAATTTGCTATGGTTAAGTCCTGTTAGTGTGGTGGATGTTTACGACCGGAAGGTTGTTTCCCTCAGTTGAACGAGTGTGGGCCAGTCTAGCTCCTGGCTACGTTTCTACGTGGCTACGACTCTGGTCTCCAGACAGCTTCTGGACTCGACCTACAATCAGATTTTTTTTGGAAACCCAAAGGCTGTTGTAATATGGGAGCTAAAATTCGTGGTGGCGTGGGTCAGATAAATCTGAAATTCCGGTTTCTCCCTTATTTCCAGGTAAAAGGTAAGTTGTATGGTTTGAAGTAGATAGCGCATAGTTGCATAAACAACGCGTAAATGTATTTTTACATGCATGTAAACTGAAAACTTGAAACGGTGATGCATGTCGCTAATGTCTCTAAGTCTTGCACCATCTAAGTTCCTTTCTTGGAAAGATTCATACAGGACTCCTACTCAAGCAAGTAAAAAGGTTCCTGTATTGCTAACCAGTGCAAAGAGATTACTTGGCTTGTAATTACAAAATGTGAAATTTTTCTTTCTATGCAAATTTTTGAATGTTTTAAACAAATGGCTAGCATGGAACTAAGGTGATATATGGTACGAATCATAACTTTTAGACCACTTAAGAATTGACTAAATTAACACCATCTGCCAATACTAAAGTGCAACTTTTAATATATGGCATCTAAAACGACACGTAGGCCACTTCAGAATGTATATATGCTCATCTGTTCAGATCAAATTCGCCATGACCTGGATTTTAGCCAAAATGTTTCACAGGCCACTTTAGTTCCAAGCCAGCCAAATGTTGATTAACACTAATAAACACTTTGTCATAACTGTAAAAATCATGTAACAAATTAAGTAAATCATGACACTTCCAATTCAATTAGACAATACTGAGCAAATATCAAGAACACAAATATTAATTTATAATACCTCGGTTATCATAGTGGTATATAATTATAAAGAATGCAACATGCCGTTCACAACTATTATTTATAGGGACCGATGTTTGATAAAATTGTCTTTTTTTTCTTTTTACTTAACAATGCCTTCTAGCATAGAAATTAATTTTATGACAAAAGGATGTGACCCACTTGTATGCACCTCTCTTTGTGCATTTTCTTAATTTTGATTAGTCATTTTTTACCTGTTTCATAATTTTTAAAGCATTTTTCAGGGATTTCATAATTTTAATATAATTTTAATGGTACTTACCTCAAATAATAATTAGGGAATCGAACAAAAGATATTCACAGAACTCCTGAGTAGCCTATTCAATTTCTTCACTCAGAAAACAGTGTTAGCTATCAAAGGTTTCTGTGATGCCTTCAATGGCATATGGTATATTTCATGCTCACTAAAGACAAAGATTTCCTGATACAGTCCAAACCAAAAGTTCGCAAGCTGAGTTCACTTGACCAAAAAGCCTTGATTACATCCAATAGCTAGGGATGTTCATCTGAACTGGTATTGATGAACTTTTTGAAGTCATATTTCTTTGCTTTTAGGCATTTTAAAAACATTTTAAAAGTATTTCATTGATCAATATTGACGTTTCAGGTCATCAAAATTTGCAACCTAAGCATGAACCTCAGTGTTGATTACCTTTTCAAAACTTTTTTGAACCTTGGTCATAGGATTATTTACTTGAAATAAAAGAAATTAGACTGAAACATCATGATCATAATTAAAGTATTGCTATATGTGGCTTGAATTTAATTTATCGAATAAGCGCAATTTAATATTTTGATACAAACATTTATGAATGTATATGTCTGTCTTAATTTTGGTTTGTCCAGGTCATTAAATTGACATACAAAGATGTGGAGAAAATTAAGAACTATTATGATTTCTTAGGGTAGTAAGTGAGTTTTTCATCATGGAATAGGGCAAGGGATTGGGATAAGAGACAGAAATTTATATAGGACCCATCCTCCTTGTACTGCAATCCTAAATAAAAATATTGATTACACTAGTAAAACAAAGAGCTTTGATAACATTAGATTTTATTTGTCAGTGTACAAGATTTTTGAACGTACATCATTTTTATTTGTGTATAACCATTTATCAATCAAGATTACTTATTTCAAAATTCTTCTTTTGATTATTCTCTTTTGAACAGTTTGTAAATTTGAGCAAATGATTTTATAAATATATTAATCCGAGGTGATATGCATGAATCTTCACAAACCATTACTTTCCCTAGGTCAGTACTCTGTCTATTCAATCATACTTTCCTTGTAAACTAATTCAAAACTTACAAAAATTACCAGTTTTAGAAATGATTCAATATGAATGAATAGATTTAACTAGAAATTTTTTGCATATTTACTTTAAAAATCTGTTTTAAAATTGTCATATTCAATTCATTCTCTCTCGATAGTTTATAATAGAAATGCATCAATACCAAATCTTCTATAATTGGACATTTCATATTCCCTGTGCATTCAATGAAAGTTAATGTATTCATTTGGTTACTGTAATTTTAAAAAGGTATTAATTTAATCGGAAAGTAATATCGTGATTTCAATGTTATAATGTGATTGTCCAATTCATATAATTATTCCAATTTTCTTATAATATGGACAATCAGGTAAAAAGAAGTTGCTCATTTACAAAGAATTTACACACTACTCCATTTATTAAAACAATTTTTCTAAAGGGCTGCTCTTCATCATCAGGTTACATCATGCTACATTGTACATAATTATCCATTTGAAACTGAATGATAAGTTGCATTGTTTTAAAACATTGAATCCATGAGTAATATAAAATTTTCTATGTGAAAACCTAAAATAACAATAACAACAAAAATTAAAGGAATATTACACAAAGTAAAAATATCATCAGACAAGTACCTTTTATGAAATATTCTAATTCCCTCTGGGATTGGAGAACACATCTCTCTTTATGATGGATAAGATTATTTCATAAAAGGTAGGCTGATATTTGTGCCCTTTTGAAGCTTCTTTAATATATACTTGTCAATTATATACAATGTAACATATTGTAGCCTGATAATTCTAATACAATGCATCCAATCATTCAGATTCTTATTGTTAATTAAATACAATGTAATGTAATGTAGCCTGATGATTAAGTCTCTTCAAAACTTCATTTTAATAAAGAAATGAAACTGAATGAATAACTTCGTACCTGATTGTCCCTAATATAAGGTGAAAGTTAGATAATTTGTACAGTGATTCTTTCGTGCTGAAGTTGATGAAATGTGAAATAAAATTATTTGCATTGGGTATTAGATGATATAAATTTTGTATTGGTTATAACACTGAATATGCTTTTTTGATTATTGTACCATCTCAAAAATTATCTGGTGTCAAAGCACATGCTGCAAAACATGAGAACAGCACACGCTGCCAGAATGGCTTGTTCTTATTTTCCAAGCGTCGACCTTTCGGAGCATCTGTATTTTCTGGCTCTTCTTGCTCGACCCTGACTTGGGCTCCTGCTGCAGGCTGGAACATTGAAACACTTTGGAGTTTGACTAACTAATACTGTGGCTACATTTATTATTTTCTTTCAGTCATTTGATAAATATACACTTTAATTCATACAGGATACATTGCTTCATTTACACGTTTTCAATGAAATATATAAAAAGAGATCACAACACATGTGAGTTTGGTGGAATAATAAGTTTGTGGTGTACTCTTTGTGGGTAAAAAAAGAGTGTTCATGAAAGGTCAGAGGCAACATTTGTTTTTTTATTTCAGTGATTATCAAACTCTGTAGCATAAGTGTACTGAAGTTAGAGTACCTCCACAGACTGCTAATAAGTTTACTACACGTCTTTTGTGTTGTCTATAGTAAACAATAAAAGTGATTAACATAAATAAATAATATGAAATATATAACAAGTAATAAATAATAAGGAAAACACATTAAAATATTGAATGTCATTTAAACAAAAATAATCTATTTGAATTTAAGTTTTGTTTATATTTCCAACATTTCATTAGGAGAAAGGCACTTATTAGTATAGTAATTTACCTCAACCATAACGCTGAGTTTCTCAGAATCATGAGTTTCACTGGTGCTCACAAATTCAGTCATTGTGAGTTGGGCACGATCATCAGAGCAGGCCTGAAACATAACATCAACCACAAATGAAAAAATACACTAATATAAAATAATTACCAATGATGACAAAGTCATAGACGATATTAGATGCTTCGGATAATACCTGATTTATTTCAATTAATCAATGAAGGTACTTTTGTATATGTACATGCATTATGAAAAATAAGACATTCTGACAAGGAGTTATTTTATGTACAAATTAATGCTTTTAGACATTTATCTTCAATTACTTCTTAAAATAAATCTATATCTTCTTTTAGTCATTCTTTGTAAGCATTTAGAGTACTCCCAGTTTTAATAATCACAGTAGCTCTTTACCGGTAACAAATTTACATTTTCTCACCTTTGTGTGTGTGTGTTGTGTGTGTTGTGTGTGTTGTGTGTGTTGTGTGTGTTGTGTGTGTTGTGTGTGTTGTGTGAGTGTGAGTGTGAGTGTGAGTGTGAGTGAGTGAGTGAGTGAGTGAGTGAGTGAGTGAGTGAGAGAGAGAGAGAGAGAGAGTGCGCGTGTGTGTGTGTCTGTGAGTGAGTGTGTGTGTGTCTGAGAGTGTGTCTGTGTGCGAGTGTGTGTGTGTGTGTGTCTGATTTTTTTTTCTTTACGTGGGCAGGGGAAAATCTTCTAAAGACAGAGCGGGGCCCGCAACCCGCAGCGTGTGGGATTCATAGCTAGCCTATGTCTACCCACTAAAAACCCCTCCTTTTCCTCCTATTCCTTCCCGCGGAACCGCCGTCAGGCATTGCATCGGCGAGAAGGAAGGCTTTTCGCCTTCACGCGAAATAATTAACGGGAGTCTTCTTCGTAACTTTCGGCGGAGCGTCTTCAGGACTTTGGCGGGATAGGTGGGCTACCGCATCCACACTCTTGTGTCAGCAGCATCCTAGCTGAACCGCTGCGTCTCAGAGGCATAACACCTTCCTCTTGCAGGAAGTCCTGTGAAGTTTTTACTTTCCACTGCGCAAGACGTCGGACAATGAAGAACCTGTGGTTCTCTACATCTTCAACTCACCCGGGAACCACCTATAGGCCTCCGAGGAGTATCCGTCCAACCCCCGGCAATCGGCAGCCTGAATCAACTCGTCGCAGTAAATCGTGCCTGATCAGCATCCTGAGTTACGCTCTAAAATCTATTCTCTGTTCCTTTTATCCACGTCAATGCATGTCCGGAATGACCGAATGTCCTCGCCGTTGATGATTGCTTCATCGTCGATTGCATTCCGGTCCTTGTCACCACCCCTCTCTCTTTGGTAATCGGCATCCCAGTTTGAGGGCCCCTCCCCGCCCGGTTGCGCAAAATAGAGTCAGCTCTCTCCTGCGCAATGAGGTCGATAGAAGAATAATCTGCTAACACCAGCATCATTAAGGATACGCGTGCGAAACGCATCGAGCACCGCAGGCTGACCTTCTACTATGACCGACTTCAGGCCACGGGCGTATGACTGAATGCCCATGGCACTCAGCCCAAATATGGGCTGGCGTGAAAGAATGGAATTTCTACGCTAGTCGCAGCCTCCGGCTGTCTTTGGCAAACCCCTACTTTAGGCGCATAATGCGTGTGCAATGCGCGATGCCATAACGAGACGCTTTCTCGGAGACATTGCGCAGGTGTCGTAAAGCGCAGTCTCGCGTCAATATGCACTCCCAAAATCTCAGTGACAGCTGCGAGGATATTTTGCAGCACTCCTAGCATTAAGAGTAATCACTCTCTCTCCCTTTCTGCCGTACCAGCACAGCCTCTGTTTTAATGGGCGGCCATCTGTAGCCTACGATAAGCCACCGCCCGGATCTCGCACAGCTCGTTGGGCAACCTGCGTGACTTGCTCGATGTATTTCGCAACGACAATTGCAACAATCGTCAGCGAATCCAATCGTTCTTAGCGCCTTCCGCAACTCGAGCTTCAACCACGGCGTCAAATACATAATGTTCCACAACATCGGACCAAGTCACCGAGCTTGTGGGACAACCGCCTGTGACGTATAGATTGTACTCAGATTCCTTCCACCTCCCTGCGCGGTTCCGAGGTTTGTTGCTCGTGATCGAGTGCCCCGCTTCACCTGCACGGTGGACAGCTCGTTCTTTTGCCGCTAACAACCTCCTTGGAGTCCAAGGGAGGTACATCTCGAACTTGGTAAAAAGTTACTTTTTAGGAGAGAATCTATATGAATACTGGGTCTGGCGTAAATCTTAACGGTCACGGCGGTGTCCCACAATGGCTCGGTACTTGGTCGCGGATGTTGTGGAACATTTATGTATGAGCGTGGTGAAGTTTCGAGTTTGCCGGAAGGCGGCAAGAACGATTGGATTCGCCTGACGATGTTGCAATTGTGTTGTCGCAAATACATTCGAGCAGTCCACGCAGGTTTGCCAACGAGGCTGTGGCGGAGATTCCGGCGGTGGCTTACGTGGTAGGGTACGATGGGCCATAAACAGAGGCTGTGCTTGGTGACGGGCAGAAAAGGGGAGAGAGGAGGTATTATCTTAATGAGGAGGCTGAAAATATCTCGCAGCTATCACTGAGGTATTGGGAGTGATATTGACGCGACGACTGCCGCTTTGACGAGCACTGCGCATTGGCTCGAGAATCGTCTGCGTTGGCATCCGGCATTGGACGCCTTATGCTAATGTAGGGGGTTTCTGGCAAAGAAGCCGGAGGCTGTGCTAGCGTAGTATAATTCCATTCTCTCTAAAGCAGCCATATTTTGGCTGATGCCATGGCGGCATTCAGTCAACGCCAGTGGGCTAGTGGTGCATAGAAGGTAGCCGTTGCGGGTTGCTGAGGCGTTTCGCACGTATCCTATGATGCTGTGTTAGCAGATTGGCTTCGATCGACTCAATTGCGCAGGAGAGAGCTAAGACTCTATTTGCGCAAGGAGGGGGCCTCAAACTGGAAGCCATTTACCCAAAGAAGAGAGGGGGGTGACCAATGGACGCAATGGCAACGGACGATGGAAGCATCATCAACTGGGGCGATGGCATTTCGGGGTCATTCGAATCATGAGTGGGATACAAAGGAATGGAGAATTAGATTTTTATCTAACTCAGATGTGACAGGGCAGGGATGTTACGACAGTATAGTCGCGATTTCCGGTTGGAGATAGCTCCCTCATCGCCAAGGTGTTTCCGGTGAATTGAAGTGTAACACATGTTTTTCATTGTCCACGCTTCGCATGTGGAAAGGGAAAGAATTACAGAACTCCTGGCAGAGGAAGTGAACCTGAGACCATCGTCACTAGGATGCTGCTGACACAAGAGTATTGGAGTGCGGTAGCCACCTATGCCGCAAAGGTCCTGAAGACGCCTCAGCTCCGAGAAGTTACGAAGAGACTCCCGTAATATTTGCGGTGAAGTGCGAAAAGCCTTCTTCTCGCGATGCAATGCCTGACAGGCGGTTTCCGCGGGAAGGAATTAGGAGGAAATAGGGGGGTTTTTAGTGGGTAGACATAGGCTAGCTATGAATCAACGCTGCGGGTTGGCGGGCCGCTCTTATTTAGAAGATTTTTTCCCTGCCAAGTAAGAAAAAAAATTTAGCAACCCCACTCGGACACAGCCCTCTAGACACACATACACTCACTCCAGGACACCACACACGCGCACTCCCTCTTTCTTCTCTCTCTCAATCACTCATCAACTCACTCCATACTCACTCATCACATCAACTCACACTCACACAACACACACAAAACCACACCCAAACACACACACCACAACACACACAACAC